TTAATCTAAAAGGAGAGGAAAATTTGTTCCCAGTTTAAAAAACTTTCTGGTAGCTTTAATTCTACATTCTGGCTTCTTTTTTGACTACAAGCAGGCATGTCTGGGTCCTCTTATTCTTTTTATCTTTTGCTTTCTCTTGTTGTCTGAGGTTCTAATCCTATTTTTCTTTTCCTTTCTTGATGAGAATTTGGAGTAGGAGCATGATCTGGGTTAAAAGTAAGCAGAAATTATTTTAACTTAATTTGAACATTGATTTTCTTTTTTTAAATATACATCTATGCTATAATAGAAGTGATCATTTTGGGAAAGAGCCAAAGGATATTCTTTTGTTACCGAACGAAGTGGGCTCGCCTCCTGGTGAGTTAAATAAGACTCTACACCAGTAGAAGTTGTCTCACAAAGTAAAGTATATTTGCAGCAAATAGGAGGCCACGAGGAATCATTTCCAAAGTCATGGCATCCCCGAAAAAAGGGGAATAGGAACTTTTATATTGGTTGGGGAACGAATATTCAAAAGGAAGAGGAGGGTATCTGCTTGCACAGGCTCAGTTGGAGAACATGCTTCCACATAATGAGAGGCCTAAGCTCCTCCTGGAAAGATCTTTGCATTACAAATAAGGCAAAGGTCATGGGCAGGCTCTTGTGGTGAGGCTTGGTCAGTTTCAGGATGGCTGGTGGTTACATCTCCTTAACACACAAAAGAAAAAGAAACAACCTGGAAAAACAGTTAATTGCTTCCAAACCCACCTTTGAGTTTCTGGAGGCACCTAGTCCGTGACACGTTCAACTACATGGCAGTGTTAATATCTCATTTATTATTCCTCATTTATTCACATATAAACAATTACATCTCCTACTCATATAAAAATGAAAACAACCTAATATTTCATATTTCAGTATTTTCTAGTGCATATTTTTTAAAACATCATGGAATGAAACATAACATTTTTGAAAAATAAACCTTTTCTGTGGCAAGTGTTTAGATCATATGAACACAAACACTAGATCATATGAACACTAGAGACTAACTGGGGTACCTCTGTATAGACAGTCCCCGACTTAGGAAGTTTGGACTTACCATTTTTCGACTTGACGATGGTGCAAAAGCAATAAGCATTCAGCAGAAACCATACTTTGAATTTTGATCTTTTCCTGGGCTAGCAATATGCAGTAGGATACTCTTTCGTGATGCGGAGCAGCCCTAGCGAGCCACAGCTCCCAGTCAGCTCCGCGATCACAAGGGTAAACAACCGATACACTTACAACCATTCTGTACCTAGATGACCATTCTGTTTTTCACTGTCAGTAGGGTATTCAATAAATTACATGAGATTTCAACACTTCATTATAAAATAGACTTTGCGTTAGATGATTTTGCCCAACTGTAGACTAATGTAAGTGTTCTGAGCACGTTCAAGGTAGACTAGGCTAAGCTATAATGTTCCGTAGGTTACGTATGTTAAATGCATTTTCAACTTATGGTATTTTCAACTTAGAATGGGTTTATTGGGACCTAACCCATCGTAGTTGAGGAAGATCTGTAAATAAGTTATTTATTACTCTATTTTAATGGATCCTAATATGTTACTTAGCCCTTTAATAATTACAGAAAATTGAAGTCAAATATGATCTTACTATGTAGTACACTAAGATTAATCAAAAGAAAAGCATAAAAATTGTAAATTTGGCTAGAGAGTTAAAAGAGCATAAAGGCCTACAAAATTGAAAACTGTTTTTAAACCATATATGATGAATAAAAATTATTTTGTCTGGACAAAAGAATGTCTGTAAGTTTTGCACTTCTGTAAGTTAAGATAAAGGAGCTCATAATGACATGTGTACCTTGCTTTAATACCGTATGGTAGAAGGTGACATTGACGAAAGTATCCATGGAGGAGTGATGGTGAAATGTAACATCTCATGACCTGCAGGTGTTTCCACACTGCCTGCCTCCTGCTTGGAGGTTGTAATTGCTATTTGCAGTTTACCTGTGAATTATACATCTTTGCTAAAATTGAATCTTGCTTCTTTCACATACCCTGCCATGTGCCAGCATGATCTGCTGGAGCAGCCATGGGTAGCTGTCTTCATCTTGGAATTGTGATTCAAGACATCTAGATAATATTCCTTTCCTCAATTCACTTCCCCATCCTTCCATTGCCCTATTTCAAATGCATTTAAAGTTATTTCATTTTCTGACAGTTGTTTCACTTAGTCACATGCCAGTTGAAGTGGAATTGAGTCCTGATTGCCTTGAAAGCTTGTATAAATATGTTGTAGCAAATCATATTTCTGTGATCAAATTTCATTTTTTTGGTTTTAGGGACATTTAGCCTAATGAATTTGCATGGGAATTCATGAAACGGTAAAAGAATTGGAAGTTTCTTGCAGTGTAGACATTTAATTAGACCCAAATTGGAACTGATTTGGAAATCACCTATAGTTTCTGTAGCTCACATAATGCCAGTCTGGTCACTATCAAATGTCAGATATGATTTCATATTACTAAACATGAATTAAAGTCATTATATATGTGACTATGTATAACTTTTTAAAAATATGGTTAAACTGAGCCTTTATTATTAAGTACAATATCACTTGTTCTTCCAACTATAATTTTATGCCATACTAAGAAACCATCTGGTGTCCACTCTTTCTGAATAGTGTTTAAACTTTAATGTTTATTTTTGCAGATATCTATCTTGAACTACGTTTCCACAATTGCACATTTTAAAGCTATCTCAGAGGTAGTATCACTTTGTTAATATGCTCAAAATAAATTTGCTTATTATATTCAATTTTCTGAAGTTAGGCAATAACAAAGTTGGTAGGGAATGTAAAATTACTTTATATGGAAAAACCTGACTTTTAAAAAACCTGTAATTAGGTTTGTTCATGTTGAATTACTGATAATTTCTAGAAAAGAAGCTCCTTTTTAGAGGTATCCATTCTATATAAATTCATTTATTCTCAACCTGCAGCCTTATAATTTTTCATCCAATATTATGTAAAATAATTCTGTAAAATGAACATTTAAAATTTATTTTGAGAATTTGATGTTCAGCACCACTGATTATGGACTATTGGCTACTTGATGTTAACCGTGAAAACTGTAGGCATAAGTCAAAGTTTGACAGAAAGCTAGCTTTGTGGGATAGAATAGGCGTAAACTGAAGAACTCTGCATGCTTGATCATAAAGCCTAGCCCATTAGGTTTAGCAGCAGACTGGGAGGGAAAAACCTGGCATTTGTATGTTGGGGACGGAGGAAGTCATGGAGGTTTTTAGACATTAGAATATTAACTGTAAAAGATTCCTCCCACACACATTTATCCATTTCAGGCATATTTGTGTGCTTATTAGTGCGAGACTCTTGGGATATATTGGCGAATAAGAAGGATGCAGAGCTTGCCCTCCAGAGGTTGTAGTCTACTGGAGGAGTCAGACAAACAGATAACAAATGCATACATTAAATGATGGTAAATTGCCAGGAAGCGAGGACAGAGGAGGAGAATAGTGTTTAGAGGGATTCAGCTGAAGAAAATCCTCTCTGAAGAGATGGATTCAGTTTTATGAAGCATGAGGGTTAAACATGCAAAGAGTGAGAGGGAGGGAGAGTTGTCCTGATTGAGGGACAAGAGATGGTGTTAAAGAGCCAGTGGCAGAAGAAATGGCAGGGGGACGGGCTAGACCATGTGGCTGGAGGGCAGCAAGGGAAGAGGATAAAGATGAAGTTAAAGAGGGAGGCCTAGACTAGACAGTGCACATCTGAATCCTAAAAAAAAAAAAAAGATATTTTTCAGAAACCCAGGTAGTTTTATTTATTCAGCTTTTTCTGAATCTGAAAACATTTTTAAGTCTCACTAGTTATGTGCTATATAATAAGAGGAGACTGTTTCAATCCCTTCAAAAGTCAAGCTTTTACACTAAGACATAAATGAAGAAAACGAGTTTCCCCAAATCTACACCCTACAAGTTAAGTGTGCTTACCTGTCAGGATCTATTTAAACAATAATTTTCCAATAAAAGATTACTTTATCATAAGAAGCATCAGTGCAAGAAATTTCCTTTAATATTTCTATGTCACTTTCTTTAAAAGTCTTTCTTAAGTAAAAAAAACCCCAAAAACCTCTCTGACACTGAAAGCAGCAGCGATGTAAAGTGAATACATGTGAATACGTGTGTATGATACACTCATGCACATTCCTCCCAGATCCGCAGGAACAAGAGGAGACAACATGTGAAATCAATTAAAATGCTTGTCACCTAGTGGATTCCGGGCAGAGGGCAGTCTTTAAGACCCAGCAGCACAGTATTTGTCTGGAGAGGAAATGTTGCTTTTTGACCGATGAGAGAAATCCCCTTAGTGCTGGCTGTGCAAGAGAGAAGTGAAGTCAGTCACCTGGTGGTGAAGGCCGGTAAAACAGCAAAGCAGGAGGAAAATTTTTCTCTCCCTCTCTCGCTTTCTCTCTCTCTCTCTCCCCCTCTTTTCTCTCGCCTGTGGGAGCCACCTCCTATTCTCTCAACTCTTTTCGCATAACCTTCAAAGGAGAACGTTCCCTTCAGACTTTATCTTCTTTTTCCCACTGAGAGAATACCTCCCAGCTGCAAGACATGTTTTAAGTCTGTGCAGGACTTCGGGGATTTGGTTATCTTGCTGGGGAAATTGATCACTGCTAAGGCTTGGGACTCACAGTCTGCTACATCAGCTATCAGAGTAAGCCCGACGGAGGAAGGCTTTTATCACATACTCTTCTCTTCAGTTTGAACACATTTGCTTGAAATTTGCCGCATGATGCTGTCCAGGGAAGCAGTTTTTTTTCTCGGGATGCAGCAATTCGCTGGTTTCTAAGCTTATTGCAGAAGAAGAAATAATCTCAGAGTGGATTCCCCCCCACCCCCCAGCCCGGCTTGATTCGACTGAGCTGTGTTGCACCGCGGTCAAGATCACCTGTCACGAAATCTTTGAGGAAGTAAAAACAAAGTGCATTATAATTATTATTTATTTATTTTGTATTATTTTTAACCGGTGGAGGCGGCGTGATCACGGAGAATGAGACTGAGCGAAGCTGCCAGGGTTTGGGGGAGGATAAAGCTGAGTTTAGGCTGGAAACTAAAAGACTAGATTGTTTTTTGGTCCAACTTGCCCGGTTCCTCTCCACTTGCTTTAGTTTCGCTCCATGGACAGATCAACAAACCTGGACATCGAGGAGCTCAAGGTACGTGATCCTCCGGGCGGGCGTCGTTCCTTCTCTTCTCGCGCTCGCCTGCTCTCTTGCTCTCCTCTCTCTTTTGTCGCTGCCTCTTCCTGGAGCTGCTTGGATAGTTGGTGGCCCCGTGGGACGGCGGGTGGGCATCTGGGGTGAAGCGTACCCGGGCGCAGGCGCCCCTCCTCGGGCCGAGGACATGCAGGGCGGCTTTCCGGAGCTCGGCGTGCACCCTGGGGCCGGGCTCCCTCCCTGCCTGCTCGTCCTGACAACAGTCACCCTGTCCTCCCCCTAGTCAGTTACAGCAGCACTTTGGGGACACGAGCCGGCGCCGAGAGCCCGTTCCCCTCGCCCGGGGAAGCGGCGGCGACAGCAGTCTCTGCCCGCTGTCGCCCGGTCGCCCAGCAAAGTTGCCCGAGCTGCGCGCCCACTTTGCCTCCCGTCCCCGCTCCGAGGCGCTTCTCCCCCCGCCCGACGCGGGGACAGCGATTTCCGCTCGGCGTCGGCGGCGATGGCTCGTTTTTATGCCAGCACTTAAGGAGACCCTTTTCTCCCGCGGCCGCGGTCTCACCCCCCGCTGCACCGCCGCGGGCGCGAACTCGTGTTCCGCGGGGGGACCGGCCGCGAGTGAAGGGACGGAAGAGTCCGGCGAACGTGCCCGCCCCGAGCATCCCCGCCGGAGCGGGTCTGGGGACGTGGGGAGGGGCGCGGGGAGGCGGGAGCCGGTCGGGGCTGCGGGGAGGCTGGGGGGCGGCACCTGGGGGGGCTCCGGGCGTCCCACTCCCGCCACCGTTGCAGCGCGGTGTCCCGACCCGCGCGGAGCCCCCGCCGCTCCGCCGGGTCCCCTCGCCGCGCCCTCTCCCTCCCCGGTCCCCGGGGTCCCCGCTCGGCGGCAGCGAGGGGCTGGCTGGCACGACCATCCAGGCTCACAGTTTCCCACTCTGCCTGTGGGCACCGCTGCCTGCAGTGCTCGTTGAAAAAAAAAAAAAAAACTGAAAAAATCAACAAACCACAAAATAATTTAAATGTCCCGCTCACTGTAAATGAAAAAGTGGCAAAGGGGGCGATGCTTGGGAGCACCCCTTCTTTTTATTCTCCACCCTTCTTTACCCTAGGCGTTTTCTACACTCTCCTATATTGCTTCAGAGGGTTGTTTTTTCACTACAAATTCAGTTCAGATGGACTCTCTGTTCAGGTGAGGACTTTTAGTCGCCCCTACCCACGAGGGAAACCTGATGAGTAGAGGTTTTCCCGGAAATGTCGGAGAAGTGGATTTGCCCAGGAAGCTGAGAGAACTGGAGAAATCCACTGTAGAGGGCAAAAGCCTCTGTGTGCAGGCTGCTCTCTGCCCTGGCCACCGGGTATGCCCAGCTCAGGAGCCCTGTTCTGGAATGTGGACCCCAGATCTCCTGGCGCTCTAAATTGCATAGCAGGAGAAGGAAGGAGGGACAGAGAACAGTGACCTGTTCTGGAATCAGCCCTACCATCCATTATAGATGAAAGTGGGGTTGGGGGAGGATGATCAGAAGAACTTAGACGCCGCTTCATTTAAGACTCTAGGTCTGTTGGAAAAAGTGAAGTAGGGAGGAGGTATATTTGCTGCTCCAGTTAAAGTTGGGGAACAAGTTTCAGTGTTATGGGCAAGGTCACAGAAAATAGACCTTGGCCTGGAATAGAGGTCTTCTATCATCTCTGTACTATACTAAGATAGGACACATTCCCTTTGTGTTTGAAAGGATCCCTTGCTGCCTTTTCGCAAGAATCCCGGTCTCTTGTGAGAGGGGTAAGTTTTATTTGAGATGCAAAGGAGAACACATGAACAACGTGTGTGATGTATATTTCATGCAGAGGCAGAGTATCCAGATTAATTTTTTGTTAAATATAGGATATGACACAGAGGAAAACTTTTTCTTATGAGAAATGGAAGGGAAAAATGTTTTGGGGTCATCATTTCCCCTGATATTCCATTAGTTTCTTACCAGCTTATCCCCTCTCTGAACCTTCACCACCAAATTGTTGTTTAAATCAGCAAAAGAGCAAACCCACTGTGGAAACTTCTGTCTAGTTAGTAGAAGATCCCAGCTTAACCTTAAAACTACAACACATTGACTCAGAGATTCTCACAGCCAGAATAGAGGGTGAAACTAGAAGGGCTTGGGCCTGAGGGACTGTATTGGCAATGACTGAGTAGGAAGAAATGAAGGCATGTTAGAGGCAAAGATCTGTTGAGATTGCTAAAAAAATTATGTCAGGGGCAAGCTACTCTTGAGAGTCAAAACTAGCAAGAAAGGAAAGGTAGTCAAGCCTTATTAGAAAAATGTTTGAGATCCTCCAGTTTGGGAAGTAAATTTGTGTTGTCAGGTTTGACTATATTTCTGGAACACGGAGGCTTTGAGACACTTATATTCTGGAATATATATGCTTTGGTGAGATGGGTTATACTACATGTGGAGTAACGTGTCTGGATTTCCTCTTATCTGCAGAATCCATTGGCTTTGGGTTTCTAGACAATTCCAGTTAAACTTATTTTCTGGTGGCTTCTTGCTGAGGAGATCCCCATAGTGGTCAGTGGAGAGAGGAGAGAAAAAAGCTGAGGATGCTTATTTTTGACATTATTTGCTTGACTTTTCTTCTTATGATTCAAGGATACTTACATTAAGGCACATTCATATAAAAACTTTACTTTCTCTGATGCTTTATATGCATGAAAAGAAAGACAGTGTTCACTGGGATTTGATAAATAAATGCATAGTACTACAAGAAAACCATTTAGCTTAATTTTAGATCATTAGTGTCATTTTTAGGTGAAGCTGCTTACCTCAGGTTTTAGGAAAGGAAGATTCTGCTAATTCTTTATCTTTGTTTGTGGTAAACTATTTTCTCTGTATGAGATTTTACCAACGTATAGTTTTTGCTATGCTGGATGTGTGGTCATTGATTTTTTTATATGTTGTTCAGTAAATAGTGTTGTCTTTTGCAAGTTTTTAAACTAAAGATAAGCTTCAATAATTAAGCATTAAGCCATTGTTGTCATTATCATAAAACTAAACATAATATGCATATTAAAAGATTTACTGGTGGGAAACTAAGATACAGTCATGTGAATAAAACTTGCTAATGAAGGCAAGAATGTTTCATCTGTTCTGCACACAAGCTCCTGATGAAACAGATCAGTGTTGAAAAGGAAGAGGGTTCTCATGCAGAGAATTTTAGTCTGTTCTTTTCCCTTTGATCTCTATCTCTTTCTTTCCCCAATACATGTATAAACTTTACTCTGGATTTTGCCCTGGTGTTCGTTTTAAAGAAAAAACAACATCAAACAAGACAAAATATGGGTTACTGCTTTGGAAATGTGAGTGTTAATGAATATTGATATTAGAGAAAACACCTCTACCCTGGAATATTTCTGAGTTAAGAGTACTTTTAGGAGTTGATATTTAAAATAATAACTTTAGCTTTTATATTAGCTCTGTAGATGCTTGCTTTTGAACAACGTCTCTTATGTGCCAGAATAGAGAATGCCACTAATTTTTTGAGCTGAGACTGATAAATTTGCTTTTTGTAGCATTTATAAGAGATATGAGGCTGGATAAATGGTTATGTTTAAGTAATACATATGAGTTTGGTGATTCTTTTACTCAACTTTTGAAATATGAGTTTTAATTCACTTATATAAATTTGGCAATCAAGAAATTATGCTTTCAGATGCTAAGCAGATATTTGTGGATAATTGTAATTTGCTTTGAGATCAAAAACATAAAACACATGAAGAGTATAGTACAATTTTTGCAGTCTTCTTTGATCCTAATTCCAGCTTTTATTTATGTGTTCGTCAGAACTGTTCCTTTAATGGGATGACTGGCTAGAAGTTAAATGGAATTTCTCCATTACTTGCAGAACGTAAACAATATGCTTCTGGAATCTTTTCTTAATTATCATTTTATAAGGGGAAAAAATGATAAACTACGTAGTTAATTCTGAGATGTATGAAACAACTTTTCAATAAATATATTGTACTTGTTTGAGTTAATTAAATGTTGTCCAGTCACTGTTGCTTAACTTTAATTTAAATGAAATTTCATCTAGCAGGAACTTGAAACTTGCCCTAGATAAGCAAGGTAAAAGCTTCCCTGAATAATACAATTAGGTCATTAAGAAAGTATTGTATGGGAGAGAAATGATAATCTAGCAAAAAGATGCATAGGTGTTTAAACAAGCAATTGATTCAAAACTGCTGCAGTCTTAAACCAAGTCTCATAGTACACTTGTGTACAATTTCAATCAAATAAGAGAGTTGGCACTTAGAAGAATTCTAAAAATGTTTTTTGTTTCATCAATAAGACACTCAGCCCAGGAAAGCCAGGCTGCTGCAGTGTGGGAGACTTTGTGATGGGTCTAAGTAGGTGGTATTTTTTTGTTAGTCATACCATAGTGAAAAATAGTACTCTCTAACAAATGTCATATTTTTAGCAACCTGCCTTATATATTCATTTCTTGGCTTAGAATAAGGAAACATATTTGTGAATACTGAATTATTTGACCTCTTTCACATCTAAAGGAATTGTAACTTCTCTCCATCCTGGTCTCGTTCTAACTCTCTTTTGAGAATAGGAACCAATGATGAAGATTTAGAAACAGTTAACCTAGATTTCTTTATATTCAGAATATGGACTTGTTTCATTGAAGTTGAAATAAACTTCAAGAAACAGTAATGAAACATTCTTTTTTTGTACAGTTAGGAGGGATGAGGGAACATTTTTGATATGAGTGGAAAGAGAATTAAGAAAAATACATTTGAGTCAAGTTGTGCAAATGAAAATTTTAGAAATCTTCAGTGGCCTGCTGTCATCACTAAGCATATATTCCAGTCTCTGTATTGGCTGTTACAGCTTTGCTGATCTCCAGACTTTACCAATTGAAAATACATCAAATTTTGAAGGTCCAGTAAAAGAGAGTATTTTAAGATTTATAGACTCAAAATTATAGCTGCATAAGATGGCTTAATGCTATAA